CCAGCAGCAAGTCCCACCTCAGCAAAACCAACAGCAGAGCCTGAGCCCCAGTGTGGTAGAACAGGGAAAACCAGTACTGCTGCATGCTTTACCATAGCCAGGAGAACCAGCAGACTCCAGCTCTAAGAAACACTACGTGCTTTGACACAGGCCTGGACAGGCAGATGCCTTCTAGTGGTCAGACCTCCAAGTATATCAGTGCAGCCCAGGGCAGCCAGTCATCCTCCAGGAGCCAAACCTCCCTATGCTTTGTGTAGCACCAGGAAAATGCAGAAAACCCTATCAGGCCTCATGCCAGATACCACCACTAGGACTGCAATTCAGCACCAGGTAAGCTGCCAGACCCCTATAGCCTCCAGCAGCACCAGGCAACCCCACTATACCCATGAAGCGTAGCACTGGTCACAAGGTCCCCTGTGGGCCTCAGAGCAACATCAGTAATAGCACCAGGCAAATGGCCAGGGCCTGTAGCCACTAGCACAAGAAGCCTTCCACCCTGGGAGCAGGGTTCAAATTTAAAAGAAAGGAAAAAGGCCAAAATTTAGAGTGGGAGGGATGAGCAGAAAACAACAAAAAATAATTTGACCATAGAAAGATATTATGGTTAAAGGGATGACCAAGACACAAACTCAGAAGAGGACAACAATGTCAAAACACCTGTGGTCAAAGCCCCAAAGAAAAATAGGAATCTGTCTCAAGCCCAGAAAGAACTCATGGAAGAGCTCAAAAAGGAGTTCAAAAGTTATATGAGATATAGAAGAAAAATAGGTAAAAGAAATGAATGTGATATGAGAGAATTATGAAAAAACAAAAGCTCAACAGCTTGGAAAATTGCTCAAAAAATAGAATTGGCCATATGGAAGAACACAACTTCTTAAACAACAAAATTGACCAAATGGAAAATAAAGAAAAAAACTATTGAAGAAAACAATACCTTAAAAGTTAGAATTGGGCAAGCGGAAGCTAATGACTCTAGGAGACATCACAAGTCAATCAAACAAATTCAAAAGAATGAAAAAAAATGGAAGAAAATACAAAATATCTCATGGAAAAACAACTGACCTGGACAATAGATCCAGGAGAGACAATATGAGAATCATTGCACTACCTGAAAGCCATGATCAAAGAGAAGACCTGAACAGGATCTTTCATGAAATTATCAAGGAAAATTGCCCTGATGTCCTAGAACCAGAGGGCAAAATAGCCATTGAAAGAGTCCACCAATCACCTCAGGAAAGATATACCAAATAAAAACTCCATGGAACATTATAGCTAAATTACAAAACTATCAGGTCAAGGGAAAAATACTGGAAATGGCCAGAAAGAAATTTAAAAAATCAAATATTGGGGAGTCACAATCAAGATCACGCAGGACTTAGCAGCTGCAACAAAAAGAAACAGAGATCATGGAACATGATATTCCAGAGGGCAAAGGAGCAAGGACTACAATCAAGAATCACTTACCTATAAAAATTAAACATAATACATCAAGGGAAAAAATGGTCATTCAATAAAAAGAGAAGGATTCCAAGCCTTCATAAGGAGACTAGAATTAAATTTAAAAAAAAAATTACCTGCAATATTAAGACCCAAGAGAAGCATAAACAGGTAAAAAAGGAAAACAGAAAAGACTCAGTGGAGCTAAACTGTTTACATCCCTACACAGGAAGATGATACTCGTAACTCTTAAAAATTATATCACTAATAATACAGATAGAAAGAATAAATATAGACACAGGGTCTGGGTATAAGATGTATTTGAGGGAGTGACACATCTATTCTAGCTCTGTGTTCCTTGACAAGTGACTTAATCTTTATTTACCCCATTTTTCCATGCAAAATAGGGATAATAATAATAATAATAATAATAATAATAATAATAATAATATCTAACTTCCAGGGGTTCTGTGAGGCTCTAACAAAATCTTTATCAGGCAACCAAGTGGCCCATTGGATATATCACTAAACTTGGAGTCAGGAAAATCTGGGTTCAAATGTGGCCTCAGACAATTATTAGCATTGTGACCCTGGGCAAGTCACATAATCTGTCAGTCTCAGTTCCACAAGTTTAAAAATAGGAATTAGAATAGCACCCAGATCCCAGGGTTGTTCCAAGGATCAATCAAATGAGGTAATATTTGTAAAATTAGTAGCACAGTGCCTGGTACAAAATAAAAATTTTATAAATTCTTGGTTCCTAAATTCCTTAATGAACCCAAGCTTTTTTGACAAAGGTCCTTCTTTTTAAATATGACTATTCTATATGTGTTGTTGAATGTCTTTGAGACATTCAAACAACATCCAAAGAACGTTACTGTTTTAACCAGTTATCAAAACTCAACCCACTATTTTGGGACAATTGTGATTGTTTTGTGAATGAGAATGGGTTTGTGGCTAGAAGCTTGTCTTGGCTGAATCTAAAAGAGGGGAGACAGATCCAATCTAGCATATTGACATGTGTAAGTAAAATATATAGACACCAAAATAAGTAGTCCTGTGTCATTGAAGCTTGGGTTAAGATGCATGACTTAGACAGTAAAGTCTTCTGACACATCCCATATCTTGTCTCCCAATCTTCTGTGTGTAATAATAGGATTTGATATCCTCCCTGGTGAGTTGTTTTCACATTTTTATGAAATCTCTGAACTTTTATTTCCAAAGAAACCATAATACTGACCTACTCCTGACTCACTAGCACACCAACATTTTTAGTTTATTCATACTGCATTTCAGGTCTAGATTCTGTCTTTCTTCCCTGAAGGATATAGCTCTTTCAATCCTTCCAATTTTCTAGAATCAGTTTTCAATGTAATGACATTTTTCCCTGATCTTTACCTCTTTGATATTTACTCTTATACCCAAGACATAGCAGTCCCATTGGTTGTACTTATCAAACACATGAATGCAGATCATGGTGGTGATGAAAATAATTGAGGGTGATGGACAAGTAAGTGACACAGCATATACTTGGACTTGGCATCAGGAGCACTTGAGATTGAATCCTGGCTCACTAACTATGTGACATTGGACAAGTCATTTAACAATTAACAGCCTCTGTTTCTTCATCTGCAAAATGAAGCTATTAATAGCACTGACCTCACATCGTTGTTGTATCAAATGGGAAAATGCATATAAAGGTTTTTTGCAAATATTAAAATACAATATACAATTATAGCTATGATAATGACAATGATGGTGATGGTGATGATTGCAAGGACAATGTTGATGATGATGATGATGATGATGGTAGTTATTATGGTCCTTATATGGATGCTATGGTGAGTGGGCACTGTAGGGCTTGAAGTCAAGAAAACCTGTGCTTAAATAATCCTTCTAACACTTGCAAATTTTTTGATATAAATCACTCAACATTACTAACAAGTGTGTGCCACTTCCCAGTAATGCCAGTACTATGAATAATTTTCATCCATAAAATGAAGGTAATGGTTTTAGTTGTACCTAAGATATAGACTTGGCCTTAGAGTTGGGGTGGCCTGAAGGATTTGGGGTTCTTTATTTTATCAGAATGAATAGAATTGTGATTCATATTACACCCAAGCCCTATGAGCAGTTAATCAGCTTTGATGACATTGAGAAACAAGGAGATTGGGTAAGGAACCTGGTTGCATCAAGGGAGAAAAATACTAATAAGAACTATTCAATGTGAAGATACCACTCCATCACCTCTTTACGTATAGAGTTGAGTGTTAAAGGAAAGCAGTATCATTGTGGAACACTAAAGGTAGTTTGGATCAACTGTAAGATTGTAAAAGAAAAAAAAATAAGACACTTAAAACTGATAAAGGGGATGACCAACCATATTAATCTTATATTCGGAGGATCTATGATGAAATGTATTACCCACCTCCTGGCAGAGAGGTGATAGACACAAAATGAACAAACATACATTTTAGAGCTAATAAAAAAAGAAAATGGCCTCAATTTGTCAGTGAAGTATGAGATTTGGAAATGGTGAGGAATATTACAACTCTCCCATCAGCAAGTTGAGGATATGAAGGAAAGTGCTACTCCTGTGAAGGGTGGCCAGGAATGTAGTGTCATTAGAAGGACCCAGGTCTTAATGAGTTCCAAAAGATGAAAGCAATGATAAAGGAGAAGTTTTAAGAAGAAGACTTAAAAAAACAACTATGGAATGGGCATTGCAGAGAGTACAGTAGAAGGGATGGATAGATCTTGAAAGGGACCTTAAGGTGGTATTGTTAAAGGGCATGGACAAAAGGTAATAGGAATCCTTGGTTGAGGAATAGGATTTGTATAGTGTCAATTATGAGTTCTGAATCACAGGGTTGGGTAAACTATAATGGTGTAGGAGTATATTAGCTATTGGGGAATACATTCAGGCAGATGATCAAAAAATGACTGAGAAGTTCATCAAGATGGCAATGAGGGTAAGGGGTGATAATTAGACTGTATGGGATCACAGGAAAGATTTTCATCTGAGATACTATATAGGCTAATGACAAAGGGGTAGATCTTAAGTTTAATGGCTAGTATGAGCCTTACAGAGGATTTAGTCCAAACGCTTCTGCTTTGCAGAGGTGAGAAATATTGTGCCTTTTCCTAGGTCACATTCAAATTAAGTGACCAAGCTGAGTATTATGATCAGTTTCTAAGATTCCAAATCTGGTGATACCTGACATGAGGAAGATTTTAGACTTTTGAGGTTTATTACGCGTCTAAATGATCTGCTGAATAATTTGTGTCAGGTCAGAAAATAGGTCTGACTGATTCCCTAACTCCTCTTCAGAATTATGTTATTACTTAGTAGGAAAAAGTGAAAATGCCATAGATTTCCTATGGAATGATAGTACAGTTTTTTTTTTTTAGTTTTTCTTTTTCTTTTTTTTTCCCCCTCAGAACAATTAGCATACTGCTAACCACTGTAAACAGCTATAATTCCTGGACATTTGATAGTCAAGGTGGGGATAGAAGGTTAAAATGTCAATGATTACTTTCAGTCTGATAAAAAAAAAACTTACTCTCTTATATGAAGCAATTTACTGTAAACAGAAGCTAACTGAACACTGCGGAGATACACTCTTTACAATGCAGCAGTACGCAGTTTGCTGCAGCCTATCAGTATAATCTCTGTCACACAATATATCATCCCATGTCTTTCCATAATGGTTCACTGCAGCAGGAGTGGTGTGCTGCCATTACAGAAACTGTAGCCAAGGCAGAAAGCAGAGGGCACCTAAAAATTAGAAATTTATTATGTTAGTGCACATTTACATTTCTGTGATCAACTGACATCATTGGTAAAGAACGGTTTTCTTGACAGCAAGTTTAAATCTCCCCTTTCGACTATGACCAATTTCCTACTTCAGCCCTCTGGAGCTGATCTGAACAAATCTAATTCCTCATTCATGATATAGCTTTGCACCCCTCCCTCTGCCATAGGCTAAATATCCTCTGCTACTTCAAATGAAAAACATGAGCCCAATGTTTTCCTCATCCAGGTTGCTTATCTTTATTTCGCTATCAATGTCCTTCCTAATGTGGGATGACTTGATTTCTTAGTTTATTATAGTCATTCTTGTATCCTGTAAAGTATAATGGCCATGAGTTTGGAAAGTATGTATGCTTGAAAATAGTTTTTTATAATAGGGAAGGTCTTAATCAATATTTTCCAATGGCGGCCAGCTCATTTTCCTTCCTATTGCTATCTAGCCTTCTCACCACTTTCCAAGTAATCTTCATAAATTATTGCTATAGTTATACACCTTTTCTACATCAACTCTTCAATTACTTCTCATTAAAAATAAAATGAAAAATATGATTGCAAATAATCATGTATATATATTCAGATATATATTCAGATATAGATACCTATATCTATATCTGAATATGAAATTAAACTCCTAGCCTTGGCATTCAAGGCCCAGTAAAATAAATCTCCACTTTCTTGGAACAATCTTATCATATATCAATAAAGCTCTAGTTTCTTCACACAGTCTTATCACATATTAATTTTTAATGTACTGTATATTCCACACAAAGATACTACTCTCCAAGCCCTACATTTATCTTACTCTTTTGTTCCTCTGTATTTTGGGCTCATGTCATTCATCCATGTCTAGGTATATGCTCTTTTCCCACTCCTTGTTCTCCCACCTACCCCATTGATGAATGTCTGACCTGAAGGGCCCAATTCAGAATGTTCCTTTTTTTTTTAAAAAAAAAAATTATTAACTCTTCACTGAATACTCAAGGTGAAAAAGATAATTCCTTCCTCAAATTTCTCATATTATTTTCCATATTTTTTTATTTTATACTTATACCATTCTCCTTTGTATCACGAGGGATCCCTATTATCATCACCCTTAATGGATTGTAAGCTTTGCAAAGGCAGGACCTCTACTGTATCTATGTTTTGATCTATTTTTTTTTCTGTCTCCAGCAAAAAGCACAAGATCTCATAGTAATTGCTTAGCAAATGTTCATTGACTTTGTTTCTGACAACTCTAAGCAAAATACATTATACATAGATGAAGCTGATTATATTTTATAAATACAACTACTAAATTTGCTAATTATTGCTTCATCTTTACTATTAAACCAAACTAAAGTCAACATATGTATTTTGGGCCATAGTAAATCTTCAAAGTCATTGAAGGTAAACTATTGAGATTTTTAGGTTACAGTATTTTGTAGGATTTTACAAATTAGTGTTGAAGAAATATGATAGATGCAGGGATGAACTGTCAAATATATCTCAGTATGGATTTATCAAATTTATTTGGATTATATAGTGTAAACCTAGAGACATTAATTCTGATCAACTTAGGGAGCATGCTTAACTTGGATAAGTGAAAAATCAAAATTATTAGAATTTTTAAACAAAATTAATCAATATGTACTGCTTTTGAAAGCATAAAGTAGCAACTTACCCACTAAAAATAATTTTTTTCCTCTAATTACAGTATCTGTTGGAATTGCTTTAAGAATATCTAAAACTCATTTGTAATTAGTAGCAGCATTTTATATAGCACAAAAGTCCAAAGGTATTAACAACAACAACAAAGCTACTTCCTCAAAAGTTAAACACATCCTCTACAGGTTTATATGATTGATTTGCCTAACAAACCCTTCCTTTACAGCAAGTACTAAAGTTACTTTCAGTCCCTTCTGAAGTCAGTTCAGTCTGGAGGGATCTGAAGCCTTTTTGCCTGAGAATATTGCTGAGGGGTTCCAGGCCCTTCCACCTTCTGGGCACCTTCCCACAACTTTTGTCCCCATCACCCCAAGGTAGATGGGTGGGGCCTGTGAAGGAAGGGAATGGCCCTCCAACTTTCCCTTAAATTCAGAGTTTTCATTCCAAAAAAGGTTTCATAATCATAATTCATTTTTATTATCTAGTACAGGATATATATTGGAATAGAATTGTACAGGTTCTCCTCTAGTACTGAAGATAGAGTCAAGTGTGATGGGAAGATGGCTGGACTTATAAAGTCAGAAGGCTTGTGTTCAAGGCCCATTTCCACTCTGACCTATCATGATACATAACCTTCAATGGTACCTCATCTGTCTAGGACCAATTGTCTCTGTCTAAAAGCAAGTTAATATTCTTTCCAATAACTTCTTACTTCATAGGGTAAATATGAGGAGCAAATCAGACAAAACCCTCAATTTTTTTGGTAAACTTTAAAGCATTATATAACACAAGTAATTATTATTCTTCCATCTGCTGTGGCTGCAGGCATTCATGACTCTTTGTTATTAACCAGAAAACACAGAGGGGGCTTGTTTTCCCTGTTTAACTTCAACTAGTGAACTTAACTTCAACACTCTTCTTTCCCTGAGTTGCCAGAGATCATACCTAAAATCATTCCTATATTTCAAGATTATTTGGTAACAACTAATGGAATGAAATGAGGTAGTTCAAAAAAGTTAAAAAAAATTCATTTGCAGTGTTAAGTCTCTGATTCTTCGTTCTGATAACTAAGTAGCCTGTGTCCAATTTCCTTACCTTGGGACTAGCCTTATTCTGTTAATGGATCTGAATGAGTAAAGACCCCAATTCATCTACCCTTTAATTAAATACAACAAATGCATTTTAAGTAATTACCATGCAGAAGACATTAAGCTGGAGGCTGGGGATACAAAACCAGAAATAAAATAGTACTTTTTCTTAAGAAGATTTTATTCCACTGGGGAGGGGTAGGTGAATAGGACCTGTGCATGAAGGTATATAAAAAAGCTAAATGAGGGAGAGATGGAACTAATAAGCAGTGCTGTGGCACACAGTCATGGCATACTCATGGCATCTGAAAGTAACAGAATATTTTCATAGCATAGGCAACAATAAATATGAGGAATGCAGAGAAAAATGGTAAACTATATGACAAGATGAAAAATGAAAAAAAAATCAGAGTCAGAAGAACAATTTATACAATGAATACAATAATGTAAAAGAAAATAATATTCAAAGTATTTGAATTTTGATTAGCAGTAACCGATTTTGGTGCTGAGGAATAGATGTTAAACACTCTTCCCTCTTTGGTATGGGGTGGGAGGTTGTGGTGGGGAGAGTGGCACATTATCTGTGTGACATGATGCATAAAGTCTCAGATGCAGTCATTGCATTAGTATTCCTAATTGTTCCCCTCCACCCAAATATGTTGCAAGGGAGTCTCAAATGGCCATGGAAGGATATCAGGAAAATGTTGTTTGTCCTTCGTTTCCAAAGAGGACCAATGACATAACAGGGTGATGTCTTAACTTGTGCATGAATTGGATTAAAGTGAAGCAGAGTTACACAAAGTCATCAGCCTCACTCTCTTCCAGAGTAATTGACATCCAGTGGCAAGACAAAAGTCAAGAGGACTGGTGATACCCCAAGACGCAGTGGATGACCTTGGCATCTTTTATGTCTGACCAGGCTCTAAGCACTCCATAATGCCTGCCTCAGGCTATTGGAGCAAATTGTTCCCATCCACCCATTCTCCCTAGGGAAGTCTTCACATGCTTGGGGTAGACATCACCCTAACTCACTCATGGGTTTAATGCCCATTGGTTACCCTCAACTTGGTTTAGCTTATTTGATGAGACAGTTTACCAGGATGTGCCACTGTACATGCCAAAGCTTCTTGGAGCTATAGGTGAGAATTGGGTGCCAGGTAGATGCCCAAAGTAGATGAACAGCCCTGAAAGGGGGCTCAGCAAACCCTCACACAATGTGTGCTAGTCCTTCTTAAACACCCTAGATAAGGATAGAGCACCAGCCCTGGAGTTAGGAGAACCTGAGTTCAAATCCAGCCTCAGACACTTGACACTTACTAACTGTGGGACCCTGGGCAAGTCACTTAACCATGATTGCCTCATTAAAAAACAAACAAACAAACAAGAAACAAAAACAAAAAAACAAAACACCACCCTATACACCCCAGCAGGAAAATTACATGATGATAAAAGAGAAGTCATGGATAAAACACTTTTTTAAAAGAAGTTTCTGAATGTATACGATAAACTATCCTTCACTAAAATCCTATTTTAATGTCTTATCATAGGGTAAAGGAACACCTAGAAAGGTTTTACACATTAGCCAAAGACTAAATTAAATTCAGAAAGGTTCATCACCTGAAGCTTAAACATCATTGACCCTCACATTTATGTATGTGCATGTGTATGTATGTACATATGCGTGTATGTATTACTGCCATGATAAGTACTGAATCTATTTACTAAAGGGAACAAAGGGTGTAATCTGCATTTGTTGAGGAAAAACCCTCATTGATAAAGTCATTGATACTTTACATCCTCCTTTTCTGCACCACATTATATACATAATATGGTGAACATAAGTGATTATAGATCAAAGTTCATTCTTACAAAATTCATTTCTAATGTAAAATTTTTCTGTGTGTTCCCATTTCTCCTCCTCTGAGCAATCCCAAAATATTTTTCTTTGAATCTGCAGCAAACTTACAGGGTCCATGTGAAAATCCATTTCTCTTATCACCTTCAAATACCATCTTAAGCCTCATTTCCTCCCAAGAAGCCTATCTAGCTTCACCTTTAGACTTCTAATAAAGAATTGGAATAGACTAAATAATCCATATATCCCTGGCTTTAGTATGACAATGATATCTCCCATTTTTTTCTTGCCTTTCTGTTAGATTTCTTCAGCAAGTCTGCATTCCTCAGACTTTACCACAAGTATATAGTTACTTTATCTCTTGTTTTGTACCTAAAATATACTAAGATTTCATTCACTTTGAAATATACAATGCCAATGCCTTTCCATTGATCACAGATCTATATAATTATTTTATTTTGCATTCTTTTTTTCTTCTGTTCACATGTTTCTGCAGCAGAGTTGTTCATATTAGAATGTAAATATTTAAAGGGGCCTTAGTGTGTGGCAGTTCTATTATAGAGATCCTCAATTTGTGAACAATTAGTTGCTTAATAAATATTTCTTGATGATTATGAGGATCTTGTACTTTGTAACATAAGGAATACATGTTGAGTCACACCTATGAAGAATTCAGTTTTATTCAATATCTATTTTAAGTACCTGTAGTATAAAATCAATCAATAAGTATTGATTAAGCACCTCTTTTGTGCTAGATGTTATAATAGATACTAATGGTACTAAATAAAAAGAGACAGTCTCTTTAAATTTTATTTGATAAAACAGCATGTGTATTTTTAAATATATACAGAAACAATAGAAAAAAATAGAGGAAAGTCTTTAGAAATGGGGAAGATCAGAAAAAGCTTGTATAGAAGGGGATACATGAATTGTGTGTTGAAGGAAGAGAGGTATTCTCTGTGACAGTGGGGAGGAATGAATGCCTTCCAGACATGGAGGACAGCCCAAGCAAAGATGTGGAGATAAGACACGAATAATAATATGGGGAAGACATGTTCGGCTGAATTGTAGAGCATTAGAAAGAGAAGTAACGTATAATGACATTGGAAAGACAGGTTGGGGCCAGGTTGTAAAAGGTTTTAAAAGCCAAAGTTTATATTTTATCCTAGAGGCAATTAAGCAGCCATTGGAATTTACTGAGTAGGGAAGTAAAATTATCCTATATAGAGCAGGAAGGGACCTTAGATATTATCTATCCTAACCCAAGTTCAGTAAATAACAAAGGAAGATGAAGTCAGTCCTTTAAAATGGTAGCACTATCATTAATGATTCCAGCTGGGAAGTGGGTATTTTAGATAAGCTCAAAGACATTTGGGTGACTGGTTGCCTGGACATTTGTCTGATTCTCAATCATGCTATAAACACTGCTTTTTTTTTTACCTCAATACTTCTGAATTGTCAATCTGAATTTCTAGGACTTGGTGTTATGTGTTGTTGTTGTTGTTGTTGTTGTTTTCTGTCTCCAGTTTGTACCAGCTTTCTATTGGGTAACAATCAATCCTTAGCTACACGGAACATTAGACATCCTCGCTTTTTGGTCCATCAATAGGAAACTATTTTTTGCCACCTCCCTCTCTAACCACACAGAGGGACACACAGGTATGCTTGCACAAAAGCAAAACACACACATACTCACATATATTTTAGTTACACCTTCTGGCTGGTCCTGTTCCTGACTCCACTCCAATGTAAAATCAAGTGATGTGGTATACGCAACATCTTTATAGGCAAAATGAAAAAAAAAAATTAACTGAAGGATAGATTTACTGGTCTTAGGAGCTGGTTAAGTGATCTTTCCTTAAAAGTGCTTATCTGAAAAAAAATTTAAAAAGTGCTTATTGTAGATCAGCATCACTTGAAATGAGATTTCTGTTAGTGTGTATTATTAATAGTTTGATTATACGGTAATATTCTTTCCTTGGTTCTGACAAGGTCAACAATTTTATTACATAATTGGATAAAGACAAAAAAGAATACTTATCAAACAAACAGGTGACCCAAAGCAAGGAAAGATAACCAGTATACCAAATGACAATATCAATATTCAGAATGAGCAGGAGAGGCTAGAAATATAGGCTGACCCAAGATACAATCTGAAGGTTATAAATGTGAAGTTTTACACATAGTTCAACAACAACCACAACCAACAAACAATTCTAAAAGTAACAGATAGAGATAGGTTGATAGTCACTCATATGCAACAATTACATAGTTGGTCAAGAACTCTATGTGAGCCAGCAGTACTCTAGGCATTGTGAACAATGACCAAAACAACAACAACAACAACAACACCAGAAGAAAAACAAGAAAAAGTTAACATAATCTTAGACAGTGTTAACCAAAAAAATTATTCTCCAGTTCAAAGGAGCTAATAGTTTGGATGTATTTTACACTGTTTAGACAGCTTCTGGAATGCTCTGCTCATATGTGCAATGCGTTTTCAAAAACACAAGTTAAATATTCATTCTTGTCTCCAAGCAATTAATTCACTTTTTCAAAAAGATACAAAATAGGCAAAGGAAAAGGATACTATCAAGGTTCTATAACACCAAGGACCTTGTGCAACGATCAGAGGAACATGACTTTGAAAAGGTCAGGCCTAGTATAGTGCTTTAAGAGGAATATTGACAAAATAGAATGGATCCAGAAGAGTAAGGATTCTAAAAATAATATCAAATGAGGAATTGTTAAGAGAGCAAATAAAGGGCAAGTTTAGCCTAAAGAAAAAAAAAGGGGGGGAGAGCATGACAGCCACCATCAAATATTTGAAAACCTGTCTTGATGAAGGGATATGATAGCTATTCTATATTGCTACAGATAACTTAATCCATTAGTCAATTTTAAATACCTGTTAAGGACCTAGAATGTGATAGGTTCTGGGGATACAAAGCTTCTGTTGTTCAGTAACTCAGTCATGTGTGACTCTTAGTGACTCCATAGACCACACCAGGTCCTTCTATCCTCCTTCTCTCAAAGTCTGTCAAGTTCATGTTCATTGTTTCCATGATACTATCTATCTATCTCATCCTTTGCCATCCCCTTTTCCTTTTGCCTTCAATCTTTCCAACATCAGGGTGTTTTCCAATGAATCTTGTCTTCTACTTATGTGGCCAAAGTATTTAAGCTTCAGCTTCATGAAATACAGAGGGGGAAAAAAAAAGCAAAAATAGGTACTGCCCTGAGGCAGCTTACATTCTAGAAAGACATTATGTACATATGTGACAACAGACAAAATATGTACATGACAAACAAAAGATGATTGGAAGGTGGCACTAATGTCTGGGAGAATCAGGAAAGACCTCATATGGAAGGTGTCACTTTTACTGAACCTTGAAGTAAACAAAGGATACTGATAGGTAGTTGTGATGTGTGGGAGAGAACTAACACCATGTCGATGACTGCCTTTCTATAAAGGTAGGATGACATAGTAGATAGATTTAAGAAGGTCTCAAACACTCCATAGATGCTTAGACACTTTCTGACCCAGGACAAAATACTCAATCTCTCTGAGTCTGTGTCCTCATTTAGAAAATGGGGATATTAACAAAGTTATTGTAAGGATCAAAATGAAATGGCATATATCAACAGTCTGCAAACCTTTAAGCCTTACAGAGAAGTCAGCTATTATAATCTGTATTCCATGGTCTGAAGTAGTTTGCTTGTAAACATTCTTTGGTCTCTATAGTTAATGGCATAGTATTTTTTCCTTTTAAAATAGATGTTTTGACCAGCTCAGTATTTTATTTGGAAGCAGGAAACCATTATCCTGTGACAACATTTCCTTCTAAGTGACATTATCTCCTAAATAGATATCAAAGGTCCAAAGTCTTCTTTTTTAGTTCATAAAACATTTTTGTCCCAGTGTTCTGCTTGTTTATGTCCTACTACTCAGTTCCATTGATTAAAATAATTTCCCCTTAGTGCAGATGGAGGCCTTTAACTTTCGTTTGGATTACTTCATGATGAGATAGAATGCTATTAAAAGGATCCTTTGATCAAATCCTCTGTTCCCTGACAGGTTGAGAAAGAAGAGTATTCAGAGTCAAGAGATAAAGAGATGTTGAGCTTCTTCAGGTAAAATATCCTATCTGGAGAAGAAGATTGGGGCTATTTATTGCTGCAATCATGATATATAATAAGGTCTTTGGGGGGGGGAAGTTATCATTCAGTTTTAATCAGGTTATTCAAAAGGAACAGCTGCAAGCAGAGATTACTGCTTAGGCTGAAGGTAAGAAAGCTTTTTTTTTTCCTTATACAGTGGAGTACTGCAGGGTCATATGTAGAAAATATGGGACCTTTCTCTGTTTTTATTGAGAAAAGCAAAAAAGAAAGATTAAAAAAGTGTTCCAAACTCTTTGGAACCTAGCTGTATAGTGAACAGTACTGTCATGCATGGCCTACATGATTTGGCAGCCAGATTAGTTGACCTGTTCACTTGGCAGTTCATCTCCTGTCTCCTATACCATTCCACTAGCTGTTCTCCTTGTCTGGAATGCACTCTATCTTTGCCTTTGTTGCTTACAAGCTGTGGTTTCATGCATACAGGGTGTCACAAAGTCTTAATGCTGTTTTAAATTTTAATAGCTTTAAACTGCACTAAGACTTTCGGCATACATGTATACTTACCCATTTATATGTCATATCCCTTAAGAGATGAGTGTGTTTTTCATTTATTTGTATTCTTGGTGCCTATTATAGTGCCTTACACAGAGTAAATACTTAGTAAATTCTTATTAGATTCCAACAAAAAAGATACAGAATTTTTTTTTCAAAATGTGGTAATAACTTCCACTTTTATTTATTATCTTCAGAGTTGTTTAAATGACAGTTTCTAATTTAATATAAGATCATTAAAACCAGAAGTTCAAATTAAATATTCCTTAATTCTCTAAAATGTCACTCAACAGTGGAGTTACAAATTATAAACAGCCACCAAGAAGAGATATTCTCGTGTTGAATGCTAGAAGTTTTGCTTGCTTTTTGTTGTTGTTGTTTTTACAGATTGGTAACATGTTTTACTCAGATTTTTTAACTTAAATATAGAAGCTATGAAGCTGAAAAAGGCAGCCAGTTCATCAGGCAACAAACTTAGTAAGCACTGGGTACCAAGCACTATGCTAAGTGGTGGGAATACAAAAAATGACTATTCCTGCCTTCAGTGAGCTTATAGTCTAATGGGAGAGAAAATATGCAAATAACCATGTACAGATAAGATACAGACAGGATAAATTGGAGATAATCTACAAAGGGAAGGCACTAACCTTAAGGGTGATTGGTAAAGGCTTCCTTTGAAGGTTGCATTTTAGCTGGGCTTTGAACGGAGTCAGGAGGCAGAGATGAGAAGGCAGAATATTCCAGGTAGAAGGGAAAACCAGTCCAAAAGCAGGGAACTGGAAGATGGGGTGTCTTGTTCTCAGAAAAGCAAGGAGACAAGTTTCACTTTCCATGAACGTTAATCATCTTTCCATGAAACTATATTAACTCAGGCTAATTCAAATCAATTAAGTTAAACATTAGCATACCTACTAGAGCTGTGGGCTGGGTTGGAGGTACAGTGTCACATTTCCGGGCTTGGTTTCTCCTTTGTAAGATGGGGAGGGTGGACTACATGTTCTTTAAGGGCTCTACCTACCTCTGTGCCAATCCTCACTCCTCACAAAAGGGCTTATGTGCACTCTGAGGATATTTAAAAAAAAAGACTACTCTTTATCTCATCTATTCTGAACCAAGTGAAATCTCAGAATGCTACCATACGGCCTCCACAAAAAATGCCCATCAACTTAGTTATCTCACCAGTCTGTCTTATCTGCTCCCACCTATGTGATACCATATCATAATAGCATATGAACTTTATCCACATGAGAGCCATACTCTCTTCTTATAAACACTCAGACACATAAGACATCAAGTATGGAACCAATTTTCTTTAAACAATAAGCACATGAATTCACCCTGAACCCATAACCAGTCCTTAAGTTTTAGGAATTGGATAGAAACTTAGGAATAGATATTAAGGAATAATTCCCTTACCTTTTCTACTGGATCAATTCCTTTCAATCTCCTCTCCCCCACCCAGGAACCTATATAATCCTGTTGACTTATAGGGAAATAACTCAATTTTCCAACAGAGTTAAGAGAACACTTTTTGATCTATTGCTTTTCTTTCCCAAGTACCTTCAGAGTCCACATGACTTATAGTACTACACTATTTGTTGTCCAAATAATGGATAAAATCATGCTTTGGATGTTTCAATTGACATGATAACTGGATGTTGTCCAGTCATTTCAGTTGTGTCTGACTCTCTGTGACCCCCTTTGGGGTTTTCCTGGCAAAGATACTGGACTTGCTTGCTATGTCCTTCTCCAGCTTATTTTATAGATGAGGAAACTGAAGCAAACAGGTTAGTACTTGACTGAGGTCACACAGCTAGTAAGTATCTAAGGCCTGATTTAATTCAGGAAGACTCCTCTTCCTGCCTCTAGGCCCAACACTCTAACCAATGTACCATTTAGCAACTGGATACCCCCCCATCCTTTTGCTTTGTCATCAGCCTTCCTTTTCAATGACCTCACTGTTCAATGTTCCAAGGTCAGATTTTCTAAACCAAATTCCTGCTTCATTGTACTGTCTCTACAATCATTGGCTACATACTCTCATCCTCATTTTTTACATCTGCTCAAATCCAGGAGTTGGTCCTTCTTCCCAGGAGACATTATCAGCTGGACCTATGGAAAATATAACTACTAATGTAATAGAGTTTCAAAAATGAAATAGCCGCAGTCAACATGGCTCTAGATCATTGGAAGTTTCCCAACTCTTTAACAAGTCCAGAGCCAGAATATCTCCAGGTTAATAAAATTATCTATTCTTTCACTTCACTCCCATGTACACTCTCTACCTAAAGTGCTTCTGGGATAAGTGTGGGAAAAGTAACAATGTTCCTTGCTCAAAAAAGATCTCTCTTTTATTTTTTTTCTATTCTAAGACAAGCTGGAGTGAATAAGTCCCATATGCCAATTTCTTGGCTAGTTTCTAGGCAGAGAATAGTCTATGGGATCAGCTCCTCACACTGAGTAGTTTAAAGATAAAGACTGGTGCTTCTTTTCTTTGGTTTTCCCAAATTTCCTTGCTGTGTGCCTGCTAGGTCAGGCAAATCACAAATAGAGTTTCTCTGAGACCTGAGAAAGAACTGAACTTAAAATGGAAAAGAGGGACAGATCAAGCTATTCCAGATATAGGTAGATACCTATGAAACACATGCATGGTGAGAGGACCCTGAAACTATAGTGAGATTCGTGCAACCACCAAAAACTTTTAGTCATGTTTTAATGACCATCAGCTTAACTCAGTGACATGTCCAATGTAAGTTCTCATTGGTAATGTCAAGGTAACGTTTGGGTAAATTGGCATAACTTTTTTATATTCCAATAAGTTATGATCAATAAGGATTGCTTTTTTATGGAAATAAATCAGACTCCCCCACAATTCCTGTCTTGACCCATGGAATACATGAAGAAATTAAATTAGCTGCCGTTGGACCATAGCTAACACTCATAACTAACCTGTTTTCCACAGACATTCCCTTCTCTCATATCTGCCTCTCTCTCTTTCCTCAAAAAGGTAAAAAGACAAAATTCTAAGGGGGGGAAAAGAGAATTTTTGATTTACGATAATCTGCACTGCAGGCATTACAATATGCTACAAAACTTAGGAAATACCAAGAGAATTGCTTTCCTCTCTAGAAGACAAAAGGGATACTGTTATTTATTGCTATTTGCCCTGAGGATCTCCTGCATGTGCATACTGGATGTCTGGGCAATCTATTACTTCTCTTTAAGTAGATATTAATGTTTCCTGTCCATTTTAGCAGTTTCCAGTGGCTTCTGAAGTCATTGCAAAAAAACATTGGATATCTCTCAGAACAGATGTCCTTTAAACGGCTATATGCTGCCAATGTAGTTTGATATCACATGTCTTACCACCAAATATCTTCCTCACTGACTATATTTTGCAGCTGAAATCTCATCATTTTGCCATCATTTCCCCAAAGTATTATATGGCTATTGGGGAAGGGTGAAACAGCCTACCCAACATACATAGCTTATCTCATTCTATATATTACCAACAAAGCCCAACAGCAAGAGATAGAAAGAGAAATGTGTTTTATATATATATACACATATATATATACACATATATATACATACACAGATATATATATACATGTATATATGTATGCATATGTATATATGTGTGTGTATATATGTATGTGCATATGTGTGTGTGTATATATATACACATATATTAGAGAAAATGTTTTATATATACATATATACATATGTATATATACATACATACATATATACATATGTATACACACACACACACACACACACACATATATATATATATATATAAAAATTTATAAGGATATAAGTCATTCCCCAATTGATAAATGGTCAAAGGATATGAACAGGCAGTTCTCAGATGAAGAAATTAAAGCCATCTATAGTCATATGAAAAGATGCTCTAAATCACTATTGATGAGAGAAATGCAAATCAAAACAACTCTGAGGTATCACGTCACCCCTATCATATTGGCCAACATCACAAAACAGGAGAATAATGAATGTTGGAGAAGATGTGGGAAAATTAGAACACTAATGCATTGTTGGTGGAGTTATGAAATGATCCAGCCATTCTGGAGATCAACTTGGAACTATGGCCAAAGGGCTATAAAAATGTGCATACCCTTTGACCCAGCAATAGCACTTCTAGGGCTATATCCCAAAGAGATCAAACAAATGGGAAAAGGACCCACATGAACAAAAATATTCATAGCAGCTCTTTTTGTGTGGCAAAGAATTGGAAATTGAGAGGATGCCCATCAATTGGGGAATGGCTGAGCAAGTTGTGGTATATGAAGTAATGGAATACTATTGTGCTATAAGAAATGATGAACAGGCTGACTTCAGAAAAACCTGGAAAGACTTGTATGGTCTGATGTTGAGTGAAGTGAGCAGAACCAGGAGAATGTTGTTACAGTAACATCCATGTTGTGCGATGGCTAATATTGATAGACTTAGTCCTTCTCAGCAATTCAAGGATCTAAGACATCTCCAAAGGCCTCATGATGGAAAATGCTATCCACATCCAAAAAAGAACTACGGAGTTTGAATGCAGATCGAAGCATACTATTTGCTATTTTTTTCTCTTCTGTTGAGTTTTGTTTCCTCTTTCTGGTGGTTCCTCCTATTGGTTCTAATTTTTACTTACAACATCACTAATCTAAAAATATGTTTAATAAGAATGTGTGTGTGTGTGTGTGTGCATATATATATATATACATTTATATATATATATATATGTATATATTATATACATATATATATATATATATATGTATATATATATATACATACATACATACACATATAGCCTATATCAGATTGTGTGCTGTCTTGGGGAGGGTGGTGGGGAGGAAGGGGGAGAAAAATTCTAAACTCAAAAGCATTTGGAAGCGATTGTTGATAAATCAAAATAAATTAATTTTAAAAAGAAAGAGTTGGCCATGTGATACTGTGAAAATTAAATTTGTCCATAATTTCTGTATCATGTAGCCTCATCTTTCTATTTACCCAGGCTCATAACATTGGTATTATCCTTGAATCCTCCCACAATCTTCCTCACTCCACATGTGGAAACTCTTGTCAAGTTCTGCCATTTTCATTTCTAGAACATATCTCACATCTGCCCTCTTCTTTCCATTAACACAACCACAACTGTAACCCAGAAGCTTATCTATTTTTGCCTGGACCATTGCAAAAACCTCCTAAGTGAAAGTTATCACCCACAAAGCTTTTAAGTTGATATTCCTAAAAGAAAAGTCTGATCACTGCTGCTCCACTTCCATTTTGAGTAAAAGTCCAGTGACTCCCTGATGCCTCTACAATCAAATATAACCTCCTCTATTTGCTTTTAAAATCCTTCACAACATGCTTCCAATCTCCCTTTCCAGTCTTATTACCCACTGCTTCTCTTCCCTTCCCATACTATATGACTCCACAAGATGCCTTCTTATTGAATTTATGAATGAATACACATGCATTTATTAAGTGCTATGTGTCATAAAATAACAGATAATAGGTACTAAGGACAGAAACACAAGTGAGCAAGATCACTCCTGTCTTCAAGCAGCTTATAATTAAAAAAATGAAGACACCATATATAGGAAAATGATGGCCAGGGAAAAGTGTTTTGGACAGGAAATTCAAAGAGAATGGCAATTGGTAATCATAAGGCACGTCCATACTAGGAATGGTTTTGTCACTTTGATTATGATTCTTCACAGACAACCCTCGATCTACCACCTCTATGCCTATACACCTGTTTTCCATTATCTGGAAAGTGTTGCATCTTCACCATCATCTCTTACTATCCCTAATTTCCTTTGAGTGCTATTCTACAAAAGAAACTTTTCTTGATGCCCCTCCTACTCCCTAGTGGCTTTGTCTTACCTCTACAAATTTCATGTGTTAATGTTGAACTTATTTTATATGTACTAATATACGTACATGTTTTCTGCCCTGAAGAATTTTGTGGGCAAGGATTGTTTAACTTTTATCTGTATGTTTTTAAAAGCTGGCACAATG